TCACGGCTTGTACCTCGCTTGAGAGGACTGCGTGATGCCAGTAACAACCAGGTAGCGACGATGACCGTTGCTGGGTTTATGGGTGTGCATGCAGGTGTGTGTACAGAAGTTGCCATTGCCACCGGAGAAGACTGCAACATGACTTCAGGTATATGGAAGCCCGTGGGCAGAATCAGACGCCCCAGAGAAGCCGTAGAGAGAGCTGAAAGCCTGCTGGAGAGACATGGTTCAGGCAGACTTCTGCGTTTCGGAAACCAGGCTTCAAAGGATTCCTGTGCTTAAACAAAGTCACTAAACAAAGCAAGATCATTTTCAAAATCTGGGAAGTGAGATAAGCTTCTCATGTGACAATCGCATAAAATCAGCTCTGAGCCTTCCCATTGTGAACTATCTATGATGCTTCTTTCTTCCCTCTTGTGCAGATTTCCAGCTGAAAACTATTGGATGCACATGAAGTCAGGACGATTCCTTTTTAAGATTCCTTTTGAAATCTGCCTGGCCCCATTCACAACAGGGCTAACTTTTCATTTTGGTTTCCATAGGGCCAAAGCACAGCCAGTGTAGTCTGGATACACCCCGCGGTGAGAGTTATTTTTTATCCCTCATCTGTCTCTCCAGTACATCTTAATATTGTCAAACTTTCCTTTACCCTCTCCCCCCCCCCTTCTCAGATTATTTTGGTTTGGTCTGGGCTGAACTTTTTTTAAAATAGGAAAAGTTTCATTTCCGTGACATGTTAGTCTTCAGGCGGTGGCATCAAGCCTCAAACATACCAACAGGAAATGTTTCATACTGAGTGCGGCACAGGGCTGCTCCCTCCGAGATCCTGTGGATTTGTTCCTGTCGTTTGCTGAGATTCGCCTCGGTGGTGGTGGGGTGGGGTGGGGGGGACAGACAGAATAAAAAGCCACACGTTCCCAGCTTCGGCCAAGGGGAAGGGGGTCCTTCCACATCTCCTCCTTCCATCCAAAATTATAACATAAAATATACAAAAGCCTGACATTTTAAAGATTTTTATCTTTGCCTGCCTGACAGAGGACATTAGGCTAAAAAGGAGGACATGTCCTCCTTTTGCCTGACATCTGGCAACCCTAGGTGGGGGGGACAGGCGGAATAAAAAGCCACACGTTCCCAGCTTCAGTGGGCGAACGACTCACTCAGCCTTTCGATGACGGTGCCTGCAAAAAGCAGAAGCTTCACCTGGATCCAGCAATGGCCATCAGACTCTGGGACTTTAATAAAAACATATAATTTTGGAGCCCCCCACAAGAACTTGGTGCCCTGCCTGAAGAAGAGGAATGATCCTCAAAAGCTCACTGTGGTTTTTGTTTTGTTTGTTTGTTTGTTTGTTTGTATTGTTATTATTATTATTTCTTTGGTGGCCCCAGCGAGACCTGTTTCTACATTTGTTTCATCTGTTAAGTCACGGGTTGGTTCCAAGGCCAGGTTGTGCCCGGTCACTGTCGTCATGCAAAGGGCTTTGCGGTGGCGTGTTCTTCAATGGGCAGGCAAGACCCTTCAGCCTTGCCCGGGACCTGCTGGCGGTGCCGGCGAAAGCGTGGCGACAAACCAAGCCTGCCGTTGGGTGGCTGTCTTTGGACGACAAGCAGTGCCTCTAACTGGCAACGCCTGCTGGCAGGGAGCCGGATGCTGCTCCGCCGTGGCTCACAGGCTCCGGCACCCCTTCTGGCCATGGGGGGTGGGGGGGCCTTGGCTTGTCTCCAAGGGTTCCGTTCTGTGGCTCCGCTCAGCGCACGGAGGCTCCCCCACAGAGCCTGTCTCAGGTGATCCGAATGAGTCTCCTCTTTTCAAGGACAAGCGGACCGGCTGCCTCACGGCTTGACTGGACCTTGGGCCGGAGGGTGTGTCTGGGGTGGGGAGGAAGCCTTGGGGAAGGGAGGAATCGCCTCCCCCCCAGGACAGAGTTGATTCACACACACCTGACTCCTCCTGCCAAGGTCTTGAGGTGACTCAGAGAGGCAACGTCCACTACACTCCCCCCCCCTCCAGTGCTTTCAACAAGGAGGCCTTCCTCCATCATCTCCCCCTCCCACAGAGAGACTCCCACCCCCTGCCTCGCTCCGTGTCATGGTGGGGCCAAGCCTTGCCCCACATGCTCCTCACTTTCAGCCAGCGGAGAGCCTCAGCGCTGGAGGCCGGGGCCAACCAACACTTCCGAAGAACGAAGAACGGAGGAAACTTGGAGGTACTGTGTCAGAGGAGGCAGCTTCTCGGTGGCAATGGGGGGGGGGCTTAATATGGGGCAGGAAAAGCTTGGCTTGAGCTGTAACTCATCAGCCCATCAGTCTCACCATAAAGGCTTCTGAGAGCCATAGTCCCAAAACATCTGGAGCAATTTCCCTGCAACTGTATTCACAACATGAGAACAGGACAAGAACAGGCTATCCGTTGGGTGCCCCCTCTGCCCACCGGTGCTTCACCCGGCTAGGGAAATCATCCGGGAGGGTGAGAGCTTAGCACGATGACAGATCCAAGGAGGAGGGTTTACGGAGCCTAAGCAGGCCAAACTCCGGGAGGCGGTGTGGTCTATTTCCTGGAGAAAGGGATGACAGAGGACGAGATGGTTGGAGAGCGTCATTGAAGCTACCAACATGAATTTGACCCAACTCCGGGAGGCCATGGAAGACAGGAGGGCCTGGCGTGCTCTGCTCCATGGGGTGACGAAGAGTCGGACACGACTTAACAACTAAACAACAACAAGCAAAGCAGGCCAGGCTTACAAGGCAGCAACCAAATCTGGTTACATGCCTGAGTCCTGCTGAGCCCTCAACTATGCTCCACGGCGAAGAAAGGGCCAAACCGCTCACTTAAAGCCAATCGGAAGAATGCTATCTGTGAGCCATAAGAGGCTGGGATCACTCAGTGACAAGAGCCGGTGGATTTCTCTCTCTCTCTCTCCTTAAACGTACACATTTCTGTAAATTAACCCAAAGGCATATATGAGGCCACAGATACGGAGCTTCTTTGGTCTCCTATGCTGGCATTGAAACTGGGGAACACAATGTCCTGGAATGTGAGTTGGGACAAAGGCTGCAGAGGAGCGCGCGCCCCCCCCGGGGGGGGCCCTGCCGCTCACCCCCCGACTCTTCCCCAGATGTGACTGGCTGGACTAATCTATCTGGAACTGAAGGCCAGGCCATGTTTCCAAAGCCCTGCCAGACTTCAGGCTGCCAAGTGAGAACTGAGGGGAAAAGTCATGGCAGTCCCTGTGCCCAAAATGGCACCAAACCCACCGGGGGCAAATCCTAGCCCAGCCGCCGGCTCAAGCCCTTTGCTATGGTGGTTCCCTCACGGGCAAAGACCGGTTCAGATGTGCGTCAGGGTAAAGAGAAGAGCCTGCGTGGCGCCGGGGTTAGACAGCGACAGCTGGAAGGATTTGAATCCAGAATTCTGCAGGAAAACGAATGTGGGCTGTTGCTTGTTTCTTACCCCACCCTACCTCATCAGGTTGTTGGTTGGATAAAACAGGAGCGGGAGAGAAATGCAGAGATGAGGACACATCTCAAGGAGGTAGCTCCATATGCCCCACAAAGGAGGTTTCATGGTGCGCCTCAACCAAAATTCAGGAGCAAACTCTAGTTTTTCCAATTTGCCCCCCTCCCATTCTGTGGCAGGAGAGAGAGAAATGCAGAGATGAGGACACGTCTCAAGGGGGTAGCTCCATATGCCCCACAAAGGAGGTCTCATGGTGCGCCTCCCTCCCCCATATCGCTTACGTACATTGGGTGGCATTAATGAGTCGCTGAGTTTTGGCAGCAAACCGGGAAAGGCCATTCAAAGAGCAGGAAAGGGTGAAGGTTTCAACCAAAATTCAGGAGCAAACTCTACTTCTTCCAATTTGCCCCCCTCCCATTCTGTGGCACATTCCCCCCTCCGCATCCCTGTGGTGGAACGGTGTGCCTCCCGCCACACAGGATGTGCACCGAGTGGGAAAGAAGGACTGTCTGAAGAAAAGATCAATGGGGCCCCCCAGAGCTGGATGGGGTTCCTTTCTGTGTGTCTGGGCAGGTGGCAAATTGCCCCTGGGCTCTGGGGCCTTGACAGCCTTTCCCAGGAAGGCTTGAGTCCTCCGTGCTCTGGGCTGGAACCTCCACCGTCCACGGGGTGGCCTCACACTTTATGGCTGGGCTGTTCCTGAAGAGGCGCCCCCCCTCTCCTCCTTTGTGATGCCCCCCCCCCAGACCTTTGCTTCCCGACCTGGAGGCCAACAAGGAAGCCGGTGCCCTGAGACCTTGGCCAGCGCCCGTCCCCTCTCTTTGCACGGTTTCGTGACACTCCTGTTATCCTCCAAAAGTTACAAATTACAGGTGGCTTTGTGGCTTGGGACCTGCTGTGGCCACGCTAGGACTCTGCTCTTGGGTCCACCGGGTGGGCTTCCTGGAGGCTGCCGGAAGGGCCCCGCATGGAGCCAACCAATGCCAGGCTCGAATCCATGTCTGAGCCAGCCTCGGTCCTTGCAATGTTCTTGTGTGACAACATGGGAGCAGCCACGAGCGCACCAGGGCTTCTCCACCTGACGTGCATGGCTCAGAGTTGCTCCGGAGCACCAGGGAAATTGCCTCCCATTATCTCCGAAATCCAAGGCTGTTCATAAGCTCCAGAGCAGCAGCTGTTTGGAGGTGAGGCCGATGAAAGGAAACGCGAGGCCTCTACCCACCGCAAAGAGTTTAATTTCCTTGGCTTTGATTAAAAAGTTGGCACCGGGTCCCAGGTCTGCCTCATGATGAACTTACTCAAGGGTAAGAGGGGTGGGGGTGGGGGGGGAGATGGGGAGTCACTCCAGTGGGGCGAAGCACCGCAAAGCAACCTGCACTCGAATGCCAAGGCCAGCCTCGCAATGCCTTGTGGGTCAAGAAGGGTATCTTCCTTCTCTCCCTTTGTTTTGACTTGTCGCTTGCGTTGTCTAATCTAAACCTCCGGCCTTGTTATAAAACAAAGGGAAAGAGAGGGTCTGGCTCGCTCAGTTTTTGCGGGATCCACCGAGGGTTGCAGGAGCCAAAGCCTCTCCGGAGTTTCCAGCCTCTTCCATCCCTGGGGATTTTGTTGTTGTTGTTGTTGTTGTCCCATCTCACAGGGTGACCGGTTGCTGCCTCTGGCGAGATGGTGGCGGAAGCGTTGAACCCAGCGCATCACAACATGAGCAGCATACTTTCGGAGACCATGCCAGCGGCCACGGTCCCGCTGCTGCTGGTTACGGCTTTCCTCTTCCTCATGTGGTCGTACGAAGAGACCTCGTCCATCCCAGGTAAGTCCTTCCAGAGGCGACTTGTGGGGTGGCTGGCCCTTTGCTCTTCCGGTAATGGGGGGTCAAGAGAACAGGTTCCCCCTTCTCCAGGAAGGTTTAGAAATAAGGGAGTCCCCATCATCACCCTGATGTGTCCCTGCAGCCCGCCAAGGAAAGGGCATGGTGTTTCTACAATTGCTCTTCACGTTAGGCACAGTGTAGTGCTGGGTGTGTCTACTCAGGAGCAAGTCCCTCCATGTTCTAAAGGAATGTGCTCCCGGGTAAATACGGCATCCCGGGCTGCATGCTTTTATGGGAGTAAGTCCCAGCAGCCTCAAAGAGACTTACTCCTGAGTAGACAGATGCACAGGTTGCCATGCCCCTTGGATCTGTTTCTTTACATTCGTGCTGGTCGGCTGCCTTTTGCACTTGGTCCAGATATTGAACGGCTGGATAGCTCAGTGGTCTGCAGCCGAACTGGGTAAGCTCCCTGGGCTGCAGAGTTCCATTCCTCCACCCACCCCCCACCGCCGCTGCCATGCCTCTTTGACAGGAGCAGGACTGGATGAACCCCATAGGGAGGTCCCTTCCACCTCTGCCATTCTACGATGAGGATGATGAATTTGTGCCACCTCTAAGATCAGTGGTGGTCCAAGGACAGTACAGGGAGGATCCTCCAGGGAAGAGTAGAATGGTTAGACGCAACTCCCTCGTTGAGCCATGACAGTCCCTGGGTGTCCGCCGGCTGTGGCTCTCGCTTAGCCCGGTCTACCCCACAGGGCCGTCATGAGAAGGCTGAAAAGGTCCCCTTCGGCTCCTTGCAGGAAAGTCAGGGCATAAACATTAACTAACACATAGTTTTATATATATATATATAATTTTATTTTATTTTTTACATAAAGGGTGACATAGGGACATGGGGGTTAGGGTTTGTGAGGGAAGGGGATTTGTGAGGGAGAGGGGAAATCATAGCATACTAATATCCAATCTATACCTATTGCCATATCAAATCCAAAATCATTCTATTTACTCTTTTCTGCCTTATGTATAAGGTTCTCATTTCACTATATATATTCAGCTACTACCTGTTACTTCAGTCCATTTATAAAATAAGTCCCATCTTTCTGTTGCCCTTTGCAAGGATTGGTCCTTCATAACTTCCCATAAGATGTCCATTTCGGCTATTTCCCGTATCTTTTCCATCAGATCTTCTTGTTCCGGCACCGCCGTACTTTTCCAATTTCTAGCATACATAATTCTGGCTGCTGTAATAATATATATAACTATATGTTCCTTTGACCTATCTATGTTATCAGGTATCATGCTTAATAGAAACAATTCTGGGGTTAGTGGTACTTTACAAAGCAGAATTTGTTGTAACATAACATGCACTCTTTTCCAGTATTTTTTCCGCTACCCACACGACCACCACATATGATAATAACTTCCCATTTGTGTTTCACATTTCCAACACTTATTTGATACATCCGTATACATCTTTGACAGTTTTTCAGGGGTCATATGCCACCTATAGAACATCTTATATATATTCTCCTTAAAATTAACCGATCTTGTGAGCTTTATGTTTTTTTGCCATATTTTCAGCCATTGATCAATATCAATGTTGTGCCCTATATTTTGTGCCCACTTAATCATAGGTTCTTTAACCATTTCCTCTTGCATTTGAATTTCCAACATATAATTATACATTTTCTTAACAATTTGTTCTTTTGAACCCAATAACAGTTTATCAAAGATAGTTTGTTCGAAGTAGAAACCCTCTATTTTATCTTTTGTATATCTGGATTCTAGCTGAATTCTAGGCCACCAGTCTAAACATTAACTAACACATAAATTAAAAACCAAACAGATCAGATCAGATCAGATCTGTGAAGAATCATTAATGGCTATAGATAACGGTCATTGTCCGCAGCACGAGGATACATTCCAAACCTTCCTCTCCCTTTTTCCTCTCATAGCCCTGTTACGTGACACCCCCCCTCGGGTCTCAGAGCCTTCCCATGCTTGACTGAATCTAATTTCTAAACTCAAGTACAGTATCAGCTTGCCAGACACCAAGAGGCTGTCCTTGCAGGAGGACTTCAACCCCAGCTAAGAAAGGGAGTAGCCACAGGCTTCTACACAGAGTTACTTGTAAGAGTTACTTGGGAGGGGGGGGTTGGTTGGACCTCCCAGAATCCCCCCAGCCAGTGGCTGTGTGGCACCAGCAGCCATGAGATTTTGGGAGACAGGACCCACAGACATCATATGGCCAGGGTTTGATTCGCCAGCAGAAACCTCTGGAGCTCAGTGTTCAAGACGGGTGTCGAGCAAAGGTCCCTTGAGCTCTACAGATCATGGAAGGAGACCAGAAAGTGTGTCCAGGGACCCCTCTTAGATCACAGAAGTGCAGAGCTGGAAGGGACCCCACCGGTCATCTAGCCCAACCCCAGCCCAGGCAGGAACTCACCGATCGGGCCTCTCCCTGCCTGACGGTTTCAGTAAAGGCCCGTCCACTGAGGGGGTCCCTGCCGTCCCTCTGCTCTCAGAGAAAGGCCTTGCATTCAGCTGGATTCCCCTTGCTTTGAATCTGAAGCCATTGTTTCGGGGGGGGGGGGCTCGGCCATGACATAAAAGTGGCTGGCTTTGGCATCCCCCCCCTCCAGCCAGCAGCCCTTGGAGGTGGCAATCGCACCCCCTCTCGGCCTCCTCATCTCCCAGAGCCAAACACAGCTCCCCCCTGCCCCCCCCCCACACCCGAAGGTCCTCTCTGGTCCAGATGCCGTCCAAAGCCCAAACCCACGGCTGGTTTTCCTCCCGTTCTCCCCGCAGGGCCCGGCTACTGCATGGGCATCGGCCCGCTCCTCTCCCACGGAAGGTTCCTCTGGATGGGTGTGGGCAGTGCCTGCAATTACTACAACGAAACCTACGGCGAGTTTATGAGAGTCTGGATCAACGGCGAAGAGACCCTCATTATTAGCAAGTAAATCTCTGGCCGTGTTTGCTTTGACTTTCTTCTGCCTTCTGTGGTTCCTTCCTGGCCCCGAGGGAGGGCGGTCCAGTCCCCGAAGGACACGGAGATGGCAGCCTCCTCCTCCCCCCCCCCGCAAGGAACCCCATGGATCCCACCCAAGAGCTGCAGGGAGGAGGACGACGCGCCAGGGCGGGCGAGGACCAGACGCGTCTTCCGAGGCTGCTGGGGAGCAACTCCCTGCCAGCCCTGGGCTGGGCTGCTGGCTGAGGATGATGGGAACGGCAGGCCCACCGCCTCGGGAGATCTGTGCCGTGTCCATCCTTGCCCTCTGCGGTGGGGCGGGGTGGGGATCCTGGGGGCTGCCGTCCAAATGGAAGGGTGGGGAGGATTTGCTCGTCCCCAAAAGCAACGCAGAACGCTGCCCCACATACCTCGTGGGGGTGGAACTCTGTGCCCGCCTCGCCGTGGGTCGGTTCCACAGCCCTTATCAGCCTCACCCGGCAGAGCCAGTGGTTGTCGGGCTCTGTGCGAAAGGCTGCCTTCACAGAGAAGTCTGATGTAGAAAATGCCCCAAGTCAGCAGGTGAAGGGAAGGCTGCTGGTTGATTATTGATTTGCTGCAACGCTTGACCTTCGTAACGGGCATCTCTTATGTACAGAATGGGGACTCTCGGCCATCACGGCCTCGCCCCAGGAGGCAACGGGATTTAGTTCCCCTGCTGACTTTCGGCATTTCCTACATCAGATTTCTCTGTGAAAGCTGCTGAGGACCAGCCTGGCGCTTCCTTTCTGGATCGCTCGCTCCCCTTGAGGAGCCGATCCAGGGAATCACAGCAACATTTGAAAGCTTCGGGCTCCCCCTAAAGGAACCGTTGCTGGTCGTTGAGGCTGGTTTTCCACAAGCTGGTCTTGAGAGAAGCCTGGCAACCGGGCAGCGCTCCTACCGAGCACAAACAAGGCTCAAATCTGCATGGCGGGAGGTCGTTTTTTTTAATTGATTTGCGGCATTTGTAAGCAGCCTCTTGACCAATGCTCTTTGAGTGGGCACCGTTATTATTATTATTTGGCTTGCTTCTCCCCTCTGTAACCTTTGGAGGCTGAAGAGGCCTGAAATAGAGCCCTCTAAGCCACTTCTCTTCTCTTCTGGGCATCCGGTTTGGGGGCTAAGGGGGTCAGGGGTGCCCCTAATCCCTGCAACACATCATCTTTCAAACATGAACTGCCAGGGTTGAACGGGGGCCCTTCTGAAGGTTGCCCAGACACGCGCTACAGCAGCAAGAACAGGGGAGAATCTCTGGAGCCCCTTAAAGAGGAACTGGCTCCCATTTCCATGGGCAGGAGCCAAGGCCTCCTGTGCTCCACAAGAACACAGATGTGGAAGCAGATGTTCCACAAGACGTTGTACCAGATTAGATGGGTTCGCCTGGGAAATGGCCACAAGAAGGCTCTTTGTTGCGTGTGTTGTGAGAGGCCACTGATCCGCACAGCCTTCCGTCAACCTGGGCCCAGAGTTTCTGAGCTAGATGACCTTCTACACCTCAAATTGGAAGGCATTTCTGGAAACTGCTGCTCCAAAAAAGGAGGGCCAGCCTCAAACCAGCCTGTGAACTCTTCTGTGACCTTCTTTTGGCTAAGTAGGCACCATTGGGGAAAGAAATATTGCCTTTGCAACGTATTTTGTAAAAAAAAAAAAAAGATTTTTTAAAAATTGTCTCTGTTTTATACCCACTGTCCATCAAATTAGTACTGTAAAACAATGGTCCTCAACCTTGGGCCTCCAGATGTTCTTGGACTTCAACTCCCAGAAATCCTGGCCAGCAGAGGTGGTGGCAAAGGCTTCTGGGAGTTGTAGTCTAAGAACATCTGGAGGCCCAAGATTGGGGACCACTGCTGTAAAACATCAATATTCTAGCAAGGCACAGCAAATAAACTCCCTCTCAAAAAAGCAGTAGGGGCATTATATATACACCCTCCCTTGGCATCCGGAAACTTGGGAAGCAGATGAAATGCACGGGGAACCATATTATTTTCTCCCACACTCCCCAGATCTTCAAGCATGTTCCATGTCATGAAACATGGGCACTACATCTCCAGATTCGGAAGCAAACCTGGTTTGAAGTGTATCGGCATGCATGAAAACGGAATCATATTTAATAACAACCCGGCTCTTTGGAAGGAAATCCGCCCATTTTTCACCAAAGGTAAAACTAAATGCTTTCTTCTCTTCCCACCGAGACACAAAGTCTGTTTTGCATTTTTAAGTGGGGGTTCCAGGATTACATAGAGCTGATCCCTAGGTTTTTAAAATAAGTGTTGACCACATGACTTGGGTGGGTCAATAGGCGTTAGATTTTACACACTGAAAATCTGACAAACTTTTATTCCCATGCAGAAATATCCTGCAGTTTCAGATGTACTTGGTGGGTAAGGAAGACATACCATCTCAGGGGCAAGGTGGAAGAGCATTAGGGAAGCCCCCTTCCGAGCAGCACCAGAATTTAGATCATGCAGCCATGGCCAACAAAAACCCAGTTAACATTGGGTACGATCGCATAGGAGAATAGTCTGCATTTTGGACTGCTTGCATTTAGTTCCTGCGTGGTCTATTTCCTGGTGATAACATGACACTTGGGGTTACTGAACGCCCCAAATGCAACATCTGGGTCCATTACACCATTGGTACCAAATTAATCCAAATAACGTAGGGCTTATGGCTGACCGTCAGAGATTCTAAGAGTGTTTGTGGGATTTCAGCTCTCTCAGGCCCGGGTCTGGGGCAGATGATAACCATGTGCATTGAATCCACGACTGAACACCTGAACCGGCTGGAAGAAGTGACCACAGAGGACGGCTACATCGACTGCCTGAATCTTATGAGGCGCATCATGCTGGACACGTCAAACAGGCTTTTCCTTGGGATCCCTCTTGATGGTACCCTATTCTCTTTTTCTTCCATTTTTTTGTCTTGGATTTCTTCAGGGTTCTGTATTTATTCTATCTCTCTGTTATGTTCATAAGGAAGGGGGGGCGTTTTCCGTCCATCCTTCCAGGCACAACAGAAAGTCTCCCCCCCCAAAACTGGTGGAAAGCTGAAGTTTCTAGAGGTGCGAAAAATGACAGAAGAGATGAAAAACCCTATGGAGGAGGGACACCCTCCCCTCCAAGCCCAGCATTCGCTGGTGGTATTTCTCCGTAGTCCAGTCGTTGCAGTTCTCCAGGAGACTTTGAAAAGCAGAAGTTAAAAACCCTGTCAGACAGACAGAGAGGATAAAACAATAAATAAATATTTTTTTAAAAAAAGAATGTGAAGAGACATGGAATAAAACGAAATCAAAAACAGTTAGCAGCAGCAGCTCAAGGATCTTAAAAGGGGTGGGAGGGAGAGTGAAACATTTTGAAGCCCAGATGTTTTAAAAGAAAAAGCCGGAAGGGAATATCCCCATGTCACGTTTGGGATCCTCCTGTCTCATGGAGAAATGGATGCTCTCTGTCTCCAAGGGTGCTCCCCCTCCGGTTTGTCTTCCCTCCTGGGAACCCAGAGAAAATTAGGGCCCTCATCTGGGAGCCCCGTTTCCTACCCTGACCCATATGGCCATCCTATCTAGTCCAAGTTCAGGTCCCTACTCACAGGTTGGCCTCGGGCTGGTCAGCCTGGCCTACCTCGCAGGAGAGTTGCAAGAGCGAAATGGGGGTGGGGAGGGGAGCCCTGTATCCTGGCATTTACTCATTTGAAGAAAGAGAGAGTGGACCCCATCCTTGTGCCATTTCAGAAAACGCCATCGTGCTCAAAATCCAGAATTACTTTGACGCTTGGCAGGCCCTCCTGCTGAAACCCGACATCTTCTTCAAGTTTTCTTGGCTGTACAGGAAATACGAGAAGTCTGCGTAAGTAGCAGGAGCAACAATGCCTTTTTTTAAAAAAGGACTGTCATGAACGAAGGTCTGGGGCTGAGGAAGAAGGGGGGATCCCAGCTCTTTCCCCGATTCCTGACCAGGCTGGGGCGCAAGGGGAGACCTCGTCCAGGAGGAAGGGGTGGTGTGCCCTTGCCATGGGGCTGCTTCGCCGGAATGGAGAGAGGAACACAAGGGATTGAGGCAGGATAAGGCCCGTTCAAAAGGATCTTATCCCCAAAGTGTGTGTTGGGGGTGGGGAGAGGGGCCTCAGGTCCTGGGGCAAATGGGTGTGGGTGTGGAAGTAACCCCATAAGGAGGTATCACCGCTGGGGAAATCCCTCCATTTCAATCTACAGAATTACTGTGAAGCCAAGCTCTGAGGGGGTGGGTATCACCTCCATTTCGATCTACTAAATTACAGTAAAGCTAAGCTCAGAGGGGGTGGGAGATCTCGGGCGCGGGGTGTGTGTGCAGGTGGTGCCCTCCTCCCTGCTGACCCTTTGACCTCAGGAACCCCAGCTCTGCAAGAGCATCACGGGGGGGGGGGCGCGTCGTGGTGAGCAAGGGGTCCCTTCTCTTCCAGGAATGACTTGAAGTCCATTTCGATCTACTAAATTACAGTAAAGCTAAGCTCAGAGGGGGTGGGAGATCTCGGGCGCGGGGTGTGTGTGCAGGTGGTGCCCTCCTCCCTGCTGACCCTTTGACCTCAGGAACCCCAGCTCTGCAAGAGCATCACGGGGGGGGGGGCGCGTCGTGGTGAGCAAGGGGTCCCTTCTCTTCCAGGAATGACTTGAAGGAGGCCATTGAAGTCTTGATCCAGCAGAAGCGGCAGAAGCTTTCCCTGCTGGAGAAACTGGAGGAGCCCATGGATTTCACCTCCCAGCTGATTTTTGCACAGGTAATTTCTGACACAGAGGTCACGTGCACCCTCAGTCGTCATCCCTGCTCTCCATTAAGTCAAGCTGCAGGGAGAGGGGATTGTGTCGATTCATAGGAACCTGTTCTTTGAAAAAAGGAAAGGAAAGCCACTTCTGGCTCGATTGAATCATCCGGCCCAGGACCAAAAGCAGTTCCCAAGGGCCACGTTCATCATTGACCTGCTACCTGCCACTGATTCTAATCTCTCCCCACCTGTACATGAGCACCTTACACTAACCCATCTCAGGTTCTCTCCAGGGCAAATGCAGGGAGCTACTGAAGCATCCCAGCCAGAGACTGGGTGTATATTTTGAGTATATTTGCCCGTGTTATGATCCTCACTTACCAGTCTCATTCCACCTGTGTTTGATCATGACTCCTTGCTTGATTTGATCTTACAGAGCCGTGGGGAACTCACCGGTGAGAATGTAAACCAGTGTGTTCTGGAGATGCTGATTGCTGCCCCTGATACTCTCTCCGTGACACTGTTTTTCATGCTGGTGCTAATTGCAGAACACCCTCAGGTGGAAGACGCAATGATGAAGGAAATACAGGCACAGATAGGTCAGTATCCCAGCACACCAGAAGGGATAAAAAAAATTTTTTCCCCAAAATGATCTAATTGGAATTGGTTGGAAGGGTCCAAACTATTAGGGATCCAAAAGCTGAAACGTATGCCTTCAATAGACTGTATGCATGGAAATGTTTCCCACGTCAACAGGTGCCTTGCACCCTAGGCTTCTCCCCAGCATTAGCTTTGAACACACAGAGAACTGATGCTGCTCTTGCTATTTTACACAAGTTAGCCAACCTCCCCTGTTCTGTCATTTACTTCCTAACGTGGTGCAGTCCAGCAAGAGAAGCACCACGTGCCGCTGCTGATTGTATATTCTGTCTCTCTGAACTAGTCTACACGGTTCAAGACGCCCTTCTTCACCTCTTCCTGGTTTTGCACATGGATTTGTCATGCTTTGTTAAAATCCCAAATCGAGGTCAAAGAGTTCCACTGCTTGTTTAGAGCTGACGATTGCAGATGGTCAACCAGTGACCAGCCCTTCTGTCCCCTCCTTCCTCCTTAAAGGTAACAGGGAGATCCAAGGTGAGGACATGCCCAAACTTAAAGTGGTGGAGAATTTTATCCTCGAGAGCATGAGATACCAGCCGGTGGTGGACCTGGTCATGCGCAAAGCCTTGCGGGATGACGTGATCGATGGCTATCCAGTGAAGAAAGGAACCAACATCATTCTGAACATTGGCCGCATGCATAAGCTAGAGTTTTTCCCGAAACCTAATGAATTCTCCCTTGAGAATTTTGAGAAGAATGTAAGTTTTTTGGGGGGAGGGGGGTGAGATTTAAAAAGGAAAAAGTGCAATTATTGCTATTGCTTAGGGCAAAGATAAGAGGGTGAACGGGAGTCCAACTGCATTAAGGCAAATGCGCGGTTTCTCTCCTTACAATAGCACCTGTTTTTGTGATCTGCATGCCTCAGGAAGCGGACACAAAAACAACGCACGTTATCCCCAATCTTGCAATTCACCGCAGTTCTCCAAGGTGTCACACAGGGCCTATTTTCTCATTTGCCTGCTGCCTGATCTCTTTAAATGGACATTTGCATTTGTCAACTGCAGGACCACATTAATGTAAATAGCCTTTTCCTCTTTGGGAATCCCTTTGATACATTTGGATATTTCCCTAATTAACCTGGGATTCAGCAGAGGCAGGATGCGGGCAGGGATGGGAAGATCTCTCCCAGTTGGTAATGACTTTTGCAATCAGTGCATGAGAACCTTTCCACACTTTTGACTAGAAGTCCATTGACAACGTTGTGGGTTCATTCATTTTGTGCAGGTCCCTCATCGCTACTTCCAGCCCTTCGGGTCTGGCCCCCGGAGCTGTGTTGGGAAATTCATTGCCATGGTCATGATGAAAACGATCCTGGTGACTCTCCTGAGGAAGTGCAGCGTCCACTCTCTGAAAGGTCTCCAGCGCATTCAGAAAAACAACGACTTGTCTTTGCACCCAAATGAGAGGCAGCCGCTCCTGGAGATGATCTTCATGCCAAGAATCAATAGGGACGAGCGTTGCAACGAAGAATAAGACGGGGCCCCAAAACATCAGAACACTGATTGGTTAGGCTGTCTTGATCAACACTGATGGGTTGGGCTGTCTCCACACAACAAACTTTCACTCATTTCAGATAGATCCATTCACTCACTCAGCAAAACTGTCTGTTGCCTCTGAATAGATTGCTGACCCAGGAGGCTCTTGGGCAGAACTCAGGTTTTGGACACAGAACTATATGTGAAGTATTTTTTTTTTATGTAGCAGCATCTGATTGCAACATAATAAGGATACACAGGAGGAGTTACCTGTACAAATTTGTCATGTCTATGTGAAATTCTGTGTTGCTTGTTTCACTCTCTGCATAAAAGCAAAGACGGTTCCTGGTGTTTTGCAGACGGACAGAGTTGAGTTGGACCACCTCGGCCCTGGGTTGTTGTTTCAATTGAATTCTTGTGCCAAAACACACCAGGAAGCAGGAAGAAAACCTGAGGGCGGAAAGTCTGCAGGTTGGACCATTTTCAGAGTGAAAGAACAGTGGGACTGACATGTGGTGCCAGGAGGGTGGAGTGGAAAGCTGTACGAGAGCTGAGTCCCCCAGGCGAACGTGCCCATTCTTCTGGACTCACACGGGGTAAAGGAAAGCAGGACACGTACCACTGGCATCCTTCATCCATTAAGGCAAAGATGGGTAGCTCTTCAGCAGTTTGGATGGCATGTGGACCGCCCAAAGGTGGTGAGTTGGGGCATTAAAAGTGAAACCAAAAGTGGCCAAAATAAATGGGTTGTTTTGTTTTCTTCTTTTGGTGTTTAAACTTTGTGACATTTTTACAAGGTTCAGTCCTACTCCGGAGAGCCTCTTAGGAGGAGCCATGGACCCCCTGGCTGTTCCAAGATACCCAAACACCCCTTCATTCTGAATGGTGCACACACAGGTTGCCCAGCTTCTGGAAGACAGATTTTCTTCCCTAGGCTTGGAGCAAGAGCCAGCTAAGTCTCCCATGGAACCCTCACAACGCTCCTGGGAAGGAGGTTGGATGCTGCAAAGCTAAGTTGAATTGAAACTCTATTTTGGGGTCATACCGTTCAAATTTGGTGAAAATGTGGGACACAAATTAAATAGACAACTAAGCAACCAGAAAAGTAACATGCATTTTTTTAAACAGTGAGCTTCTTATGCAAAGTCTGATGGTTAAAAAAAATAAAATAAAATCAAGGAAAAATATGAACCTTTACATTGCAGTTCTTAGAACCATAAAGTTGCTTCTGACAACTTCAACGAGCAACGGGCAGGAGAAGCAGCTTTTTTGCATCCTAATGTAGAGGTGCCGTTTGGGGGTTTAAACCTCGTCCATCCCTCGGGTGCCTTCAGGCTGCAAAGTAACACCTCAGAGCTGTGAACAGGCAAATCCTTTTCGCTGCCTTGTGGGTGGACCAGCAGAGGGCACACCGAGAGAAGAACAGGCAGCGCCGCCACGTCAGGCCGCTGGTGACGAGAGTCTTTCAGCCTGGAAGGGAACGTGGGACCTGCAGGTTAAAAGGTCTGGAAACCCAGCCCTTGTGGGGGAAAAGGCTAGGGGTCATCTGGAGATGGCCGAGAAGGAGACGGTGACCCTTTTCCAAATCTCTGAGAGGCTCTCGCCTGGAAGATGGAGGGGGCTTTTTGGACCGGAGGGCTGGTGGGACAGCTCTCACGGATGCTCTGGCCACTGATTTCTCCATCAAAAAGAGCCAGGATGCTCTGGCTCAACCCTTCGGTTTCTCTGCCCCTCTGAGCTTCCCGGTGTAAATGTGACACATGGGGAACAGAGGAAGAGGAGAGGCCATGAGGGGGTCGGTCCCTGTGCAGGCTGGGGGGTGTTGGTGGTGGTGGTGGGGGGAGCCTGTTTCTCAGGAAAGAGGGAAGGGAAACACTTGCCACAAGTTCTCTAAGGAACATAGTTCCTTGAGCCGGGAGCAAGAGGGTCTTCTCTGTGATTTCATTAGTAGCAGGCCACCAAGAGTCAGACAGGGCCGTCCCATCCTTCCCTTCTGTCAGGGATGCTTTACCTGGGGGAACTTCTGCATGGGCCAGGGTGGGACTAGACCATCCTTTCCAACTCCACAAGTCCTTTCATAGCTTGTTTTTGTATGAAAGGGGCAGGAAGACTTCCGGTTTGCAAAGCTACATTGTGATGGTTCGCGTTTTCCTTTGAGGACCGTCTTCACTCTTCTCCTAAGATACACCGATCTCTCTCTCTCTCTCTCTCTCTCGATCTCTCTGCCCCCCCCAAAAAAAATCCTGCAGGCAAACTTCAGCCATTGTTATTCACTGCACACATACAAGCCCAGCAGGGTCACCCGTCATTACATGACAGCAGAATCGGGGCGTTGTGGAATAATCCACGACTTGAACCGAAAGTGTATGAGAAACCCCCTTCAGGCGGACTTTTGTCCTTGCAGAATCAGCCTTGAAAAGTGCCACACGCTTAAGGTCCAATCGCAAAACAGAAGAAGCTGATCAGCAAGCTCCAGGAGGTGAGGAGGAGGCTTGCTGTGACATTCACATACAGTCTGCCCTTAAGGAGTTCCCTCTTCTAAGATGGGTTATCTATAATGTGTGTCTGCTTCTGCCTTGGTTTGCTTAAAAGGAGCATCGTCACCCACCTCTTAGGGTTGGCAGCATGCTGCAGCTCATGTAATTGGGGGGGGGGACCTCTGGCATACACCTGAGGGCCGCAGTGCCCTGTGGATCCTCCACAAGAACCAAGACTAGAGGAGGGCACTGTAAAAGCCCCAGCGGGCTGCCCCCCTCGGGCAAGTTTCAAGGGTTGACTGGATTCAGCCCCTGTGGATTTTGCCCTCTGGCCTCCCCTCAGTTCTCCTTCAATTGCAGCCCATTTCTGAGCTGAGTGAAACGTGAACAGGTCTCAAAGCGGGGCTTGGTCTCGCAGCTGACCCTCAGAGCCCCTTCTTTCTCTTCTGGGAGAGAACACGGCCGATCAATCGTTTGCTTTCATTCCAAAACCATGGCCCTTGAGTTGGTTCTGCATTTCATCCACGGCGGGGTGAGGGATTCAACTCCAGGAGGGGTGAAATCGAATATCAGGACAACCTGCAAGCGAAAGGCAAACTTCAGAAAGTCGGGCGTGAGGGGCTGACCCACCACACCCTCTTCTCCTCCCTGGCATTCATGCTGCTAGACCTCAGAGGTCTCATCTGTCACCAGACGGCCAGTGGAACTGCACCCTCTGGTCACATCCATTCCCACTGCTGCCTCCTTGGCTGGGATGCTGGGTTCCCTGACGGGTTGGATTTATTGTTTGCCTTGAAGGCCATATATTGAATTTCAGCTCTTTTCTTCCCATCTCTGATCTTTCTCTCTCTCTCTCTCTCTCTGTCTCTCTCAATGTTTTTCAATATGTGGGGGTCTTTAGAGAAGACAGCGCCTGCACCACCACCCGGTTCTCTTTCTGTCCCCCAGCCTGCAACTGAAATCTTGCCTTTATAACATCTCCGGACCGCTGAAAGGATGGGAGACATAGAAAAGGGAAGGAGGTCTTTTCAATATGCGGGGGTCTTTAGAGAAGACAGGGCCTGCACCACCACCCAGTTCTCTTTCTGTCCCCCAGCCTGCAAATGAAATTTTGCCTTTATAACATCTCTGGGACCGCTGAAATGATGGGAGACATAGAAAAGGGAAGGAGGTCTGAACACAACACATCCTTCCAGAGCTTGGAAAAGTTATGTGAGCTTGTAGATGAACCCTGTGGAATGACGTTCCATTTCGTTTTCAGCTTCCTTTTCTGGTTTCTCAGATATTCGGATTTTTCCATCTTTTTTTTTTCTTTCCTTCTTTTCAATAACTGCCTGGGCTTAAGGAAAGCCCACAACCACAGACCCTACATTGGAGCGGAGAATCTGTCTGTCAGACCACAAACCCCATTATCCCCAGCAGCCAGCGCAGCCAACACAGAGCCATAGGCTCCATCAGTAGTTCCCTCGTATGTCGGGCCAAAATCTTTCCCAACAGTCAATCCTGGAACCAGAGAACACCTCCATCGGAAGCTGGACACCCTTCCAAACAGAATAATATCTCCCATGCCCTCTGGTGACAGCAGCTTGCAAGCGGAGCCCAGGGACAACGTTCCCCCCCATCCCAGATTTTGCAGCGGGGGCACCTTGCCCTCCCTGGTCAACAAACTGCCCCCTTGCCCTTCGATTATGGGTGTCCCAGAGCCCAGATCTCCCTGCAGACGCATCCGGCACACACAGGTGGCATCGTGGTTCTTCTCTGTAATCCTGAGATGCTCCCCCCCTTGTGATCTTCTGCCATGCCAGGTGCAGCTCTGGGCTGGCACAAACATCACACTCGATGGCCGTTCTTCTGTTTCAGTCCCCCCCCCCAATTAATCGAAAACAGCTTTCCTAAAACGGTCCACAACAAAGAACATGACATGCCCCGGAGATGCTTCAGTCTCCCACTCATTAACGGCGGCTTTTGCTGGAGCCCGAATTAGAAATAAACAAACCGTCTTTCTTTGTTCTTTTAGGATGAGTCCATCCAAAAAAAAAGTAGTAAGCGATCACAAGCTTTCATTTCTTTTCATTTCCTATTGCTGGAAAAAAGAACCAAAGTTTCAACTGAACCCAAAGTTTTCTAAACACCAAACTTAATGGTTACGTTTGCTGAAAAAAAAAGAACCAAAGTTTCAACTGAACCCAAAGTTTTCTAAACACCAAACTTAATGGTTACGCTTACGGTTGTCCTTTTTTTCAAGAGTTGGAGAAGTGGTGCGTGGAAACAGGAAAGCATGCGGGGCCTGGCGGTGGGTCCCCTCCGCCTCGCCGGTGTCCCTTCAGGCCGTTCTCCAGATGGTGGAACACCTTGAGGTCCTTGCTTTCTCCCCATTCACCACTTTCTTTAACCAGATTTTCTCGGCCAGTGCTGATTTTGCAGCATGTGCATTTTACACGGCTGCCAGGAATACACATCTGCCTTGACTGAGCTTCCTTTCTTGGGTTAGCCTTGAGTTTCCCAAGAAACATGACCTTGTTTTGGCCATAATGGACACTGACACTTTATGGTCTGTGAACAAAAGCTGCTTGTTTTCCTTTCCCTATAATAATAATAAAATAATAAATAATTGTAAAGTGGAAAGGCCTCTCAGTAGTTGTTCTTGGACTGCACATCCCATCATCCTTGGCCACCACACCTGAAGACGAGGAATGCTGGGAGTCGTAGGTGGACCACATCTGGACACCAATGGGAATCTCATCCTGACCCCTACATCTCTTCCGGTGCCTTCCATGCCGCAACTCACACCATTTTTTTGGCATTGTGCAGTAGCAGAATTCCAGTCGACAGCTGTTCCTTGTTAACATGAATTATCATTACATGGAAAGCTCTGGGTTTTTATAGCAGGGATAAGACAGAACGTTTTCTTGCTCAAGTCTCGGGCAGCCGGGAGGAATGCTTAAAGTCTGTTCTGATGCTTTCTCCATTGGCTCCCCTCCTTGGCCTTCCACCAAATCCGTCTTTTTCCTTGGAATGTGCTTGGAGAGCATGCGCATGTACGCATGTGCATGCATGTGCTTTTATGCACAGGGCCAGCCCTACCCACAGGCAGCCACCTCCATCAACAGGTTTGGAGTCCGTCCCGCACTGCCAGTGATCTAACTGGAGTTTTTTGATGTGTTACTAAACCAGGCTGGCTTTCGCTCCTGTGCTCTGACTGCACCTGGTTTCAGTGAGAGAGGGTGGTGCCATCCGATGGGAAATTGGCACACCCTCAGAGCTGGTGCCCAGATTTCTCCTTAACTTTTACAGGGCCAAAGAGCCCATTTAAGTTGATAGACTAGGAAGACCTTGGCTGAAAACCCTACTCAGCCCAAAAGCCCAGCCGATGGCCATAACAGCTGGTCACTGTGTCTTAGGCAGATGGCCACTCTGCCCAGTTGCTCCGAGGGTCACGTGGCAGGGCTGGGGACCCTTATGCCCCATCCGCCCAGCGCAGCACCCTCTCATTCCTGAGGTTTCAGGGCGACAGCCGAAGTCTGGGGTCCTTCATGATAGAAACAATTGTCCGAGTGTTGGGGGGGAGATGTCCAGGCATTAAGACCACTGTATATGATAAAAAACCAAACATTCT